TATTTAAATTTGTTTTGTTTTTAGAGTTTGGGAGCAAAAAGTGAAGAATCTGATGTGTATATATTTTGGAAACAGAGTGAGCCCATGGATTCTGTCTCTTGTAAAGTTAAAACTGCTTCTCAATCAAACCTTAACCCATGTGGGTTTTTTTTCCTTCTTTCTCTCTTCTGTTGCTTTTTAAGATTAGAGAGAGAGAATAGAAATGAAGTTTTTAGGTTAAAAAGATGTGTGTTTTACTTTTAAAGTTTTAACCTTTTAACTAAAATAGAAAAAGATTTGATTTTGTGTGAAAAGGAGAAGAAAGACTTTTTTTTTTCTCTTTTCGACATTCTTTTCTTCATCACATGAAATAATGGATCTTGAACATATAAAAATATGTGACGAGAGAGAATGGGTGAAACAATGTATAACATTTATTAGTCTATACGTAACAATTTGACGTTTATAGTTAAAATTTTATAAGAATTTAGTTCTTAATATGTAATATAATAATTTAATACTAGAACAATCGATCACGGGTGGTTTATTAGTCCAAACGAATTAAAATTAATTAAGGAGAGAATAAGTTCAAACCCATGATGGACACCTGACTTAAGAATTAGTAATTCCTATGTATTTCCAGTCAAGATGCGCGTCTACTGGCTCACGAATATTCAAAAAATAAATAAATAAAACAAAAATGATTTAATACTAGAGTATTTAATTTGACCCTTGATGGATGATAATATGTTTATTTTATAGTATGAGAGATTTGAAATTGATATTTTTAATTTAATTAGTCTTTGCCAATAATTAAGTAATTGTTCTCTGGCTTGAAATGTAACCATGCAACGCAACGTCTCCCCAAATTTTGAATTGATTGGATAAGATGCCAATGAATAAAATAAACAAAGCATGTCATAAAAAGCATATTTAAAGCAATTGTAGATATTTGATATATATTCTCTTTTACCCTTTAAGTACCCTTTAGAATTAAATATTTTAGAAATTGGCACGTGACGACACTTTATCCAATTCACATTTTGTTTATACAAATATTTCAATCTTTTAATTAATTTCTTTTAAGAGCATAGTTTCAAAACCTCAGGATTTGATGCATTATAAGAAATTGATAAACTGGTATGAACTAAGAAGGGACATTAAATTATATTTTATTAATATGCTTGCTAAGGTAAGAAGGTTCCTTTTAGTTTCATTTATCAAAACTAAAAAGTCATAAAAATCAACTCAACATATTTCAATTGGTTAAGATATATCTCTTCCATCAAACAAACTGGAGGCTCGTATTGAACTAAAAAAATACATAATATAAGAAAATAGTAGGTAGAGACAAATCATATTAAATTCACCTCAAGATAGACGTCAGTTTAAGTAAAATTGCATAATGAGAAAGGATATGTAAAAAATATTTTTAAGTATTATAAAATTCATATCAAACCCCTCTACTAGGATCATTGGTAGAAATTTATGACATGAAAAATATGGTAGGTTAAAAAAATCCTACTTTAACTGATTAAAAACATATTTTTAACTATTCTAAAGTCATATCAAATCTCTTGTCATCTTAAAATCAAATAGAAAAATTAGGTAGAAGTGCATGGTAAAAGATGAGGCTGGAAAACCAGACAAGAGAAGAAACCAGTGAAATATTATATTTGGAAAAGTTGGGTATAGAAAATAATAGTCAAACTATATATAGTTTTATTGCATGCTTA